GTGGTGGCCCTGAAGGACACATGTGAAGCATTCCTGCCAAAGAAAACCCAGAGGGCATGTTCAGGACTGGCACAGACGTTTTAATCCTATAGTTTTCGGGTAGTTCTGAAAACCTTGCCTCTGAAGGTTTTGTAGCAATACCACAGAGAAAATCAGAGGAAAAAGGAAAAAAAATCTGGTGGTGAAGAAAAACCTTGGCCTTGGTACCAATTTTCCAGAAAATCTTGAAATTCGATTTAATAAAAGAGAACTGACTGAGAGATGACCCCAGCAGTCTTTCCCTTGTAATGAACATTCTGCCATACTCACTGCCATCTGAGCCTCAGAAAGACTGGGGAAAAGTACTGATGACACTAGCTAACACTTACTGAGCTATATTCCTTTGTGCCCGGCATGATACATACAGCACTGTACGTTTAATCCCACACTTCCTGCCGGAGGCACTCTTGCCATCCCCACTTCACAGAGAGATGAATGCCAGGTCGTGCAGTTCATAAGTGGCAGCATGTGGCCTTGGAGCCAGGCAGTCCTGCTTCAACCTCTGTGCACCTCACCACCATCTCTACTCAGGGTTTAGTCCCTACTGCCTGGACAAGAAAAGTGCTGTTTGGAAGGGTAGCGGCTTGCCAGTAAGGTGCAGAGTCAGGACTAAACCCCACACTGTTCAATCTGATCTGGATTGAACACGGTACAGGAAGAGTCACACCAAAGGTAGGTATCTGGACCCAAGGTCAAACCCTTCTTCATCTGCTGGTGCCTACAAATGAATGGCACAAGGGACCAACACTGGGAAATCTGCCCTCCTCTATCCAATAAAGCCCTCTTCCCTGGACAAGCTTCCTGAAGGAGCTCCCTGGAAAAAGTGATATACTCAGAGATTCAACCAGTATTTGCCAAGCAGTGACTATCATCCAAGAACCTGCTGGGCTCACAGAACCTTCACAGCCAGCCTTGGAGGTGAGTACTCTTCTCACCACTTTTATGGATGGTCTAAGTGTTGAGTTCAAGGTCATGGAGTCTGTAAACAGCAGAGAAGATCTGAAGCCCAGTCTCCATACTCATGGTACACATCTCTCTACCTTACAGCTGTTTCCTCTTTTCCATGCCAGACAGACCAGAAACTGAGCAGTGCATGTCATTTCAGAGAGCTCCTAGAGAGTTGAGCCTACAAATAGGAATGCTGAACTTGAAAAAAGAACGGGGGTAGCTTTCAGAATGAAATCTAGCCGCTGTTCGTAAAAGGGCATATATTTCACTAACCCACTCCCTTCCCCAAAGAAACTTCCTGACTGAAGAGAAGACCAAAGCTATTAAAACTTGAATCTGAGCCACTCTGACCTTAGCAGACAGAATGCTTTTAAAATCTCTCCAATAATTAATTAAATGGATGTCATAAAGCAGATAAGCCTGATTCCACAGTAATGAGCTAATTTTATTGTCCCACATATAATTTTTACTTATGTATACAATCCTTTTCACAAGAGAGAACTGTCAAAGAGCAGAGAGGGCCTCTCGAGTTTTCTCTTACCTTCTCATAGGCAGTAGGGGTTCCAAAATGCATGGTACGAGTCACATCTGTGGTTCCATCCCTTTCCGAAAGGAAGGACAAATTAGTTTTCACTCAGAATAAGCTTTTGCTCAAATGTGAGACAGATGAGGATGTGGAGAAATTGGAACCCTCATGCACTGCTGGTGGACATATAAAAGAGTAGAGCCACTCTGGAAAGCAGTTTACAGTTCCTTAAAAGGTTAAACATGGAGTTACCCTAGGACCCAGCAAGTCCACTCCTAGGTAAACCCCCTAGAGAACCGAAAACATATGTCCACACAAAAACTTGTACACGAATGTTCATAGCAGCATCACTCATAATACCCAAAACGTAGAAACAACCTAAATGTCCATCAACTGATGAGTAAACAAAATGTAGTATATCCACATACAATGAAATATTACTCAGCAATAAGAAGGAATGAAGTACTGATACACACTATAACCTGGATGAACCTGGAAGACATTAAATTACACTAAGTGACGAGGTCAGCCACTGAGGCCATATAATTCCATTTATATGAAATGTCCAGAATAGGCAAATCCATACAGACAGAAAGTATACTAGTGGTTCCCTGGGTAGGGGAAAGTGGGAAGTGACTGCTAACAGGAATGGTGTCTCTTTTTCGAGGTGATGAAAATATTCTAAAATTGACTGTGGTGACAGTTGTACAACTCCGTGAATAAACTAAAAACCACTAATTGTACACTTCAAATGAGTAAGCTGAATTATATTTCAATGAAATTGTTAAAAAAAAAAAAATTAGACAAAGTGTGAATGCAAGGATGGCCCAGTGTAGTGGGAGTGAAATCAGTCAGGCCCTGACGCACACACTCTTGGTCTACAGTGTGAGGACTGTTTCACGGAAGACACCATCCTTGGGATTATGAATGAAGGGGAGGTGGACAAAGTAAATAGGAACCTGTTTCTAGCAAAAGAAGGTCAAACTCTCATTCCTCCTGTTAGGATGGCAAGCGGTTTACTGGACCCTAAAAATACCCAAATGCATCTTTTAGAACACCCTAATCCACCCCTTGGCACAGAAAGAATAACTTCTAGAATCCTGCTAAAATTTAGAAGTGAACCACAGTTACACCATTACCCAAGAAATCCAAATACCCTTAGCTCTAAGCTTTTATTAACTCCAACCCACACGTCCCAAGCCTAGGTTGGGGCTTCCATCTCCACCAGCCAAAGTCCCAACTTCAGTGGAGAAAGGAGTAGTAAACGGCCTTGCTCGCGCGCTCAACGCAGACACCACCTAGTCCTCTCCTCCTCGTGGGTTCCACATCAAGACCCAACCAAAGCTTGGTTTCTCTGAGAAACTATGCTAGATGATGACTGTGAAAGCAGCAAGGCATGAAGACGGAAATTCAGAAATGCAGGGACAGCCCTCGTTTCTCATTCATTCATTCAAAATTAAGCCCTCACTTCACAAGGCCCTGGGGCCACTAAAAGTCTGGGGAGCTGCCAGGTGATGTGTGGGCTGGAGCAGAAGACTTCCCAATGGTTCTGAAAGCTTACTTTCAGTTATTTATTTAGTGTTTAACAGCTTCCAGCCAAGGACTAAACATTTCTATCAAACAGTCTTTTGTGGGAACAGGATCACAACTGGGCTATTTCAACAAGGGGTGAAAAAAAGGACAAGACGTGGAAACAATTCCATCAGTGGCTGGCGCAGAACGAGATGACCAGCTGAGCACTCTCGGCTGGAGCCTGGCTTGTCCACCTACTCAACTGCCTTGATTCAGTGGAGTCAAGCTCTACACAGCCCCGATTCACTTACTTGTATTGAGCACCCGAGTCAATGAGGTACACCTCATCCAGAGACAAGGTCCTATTCGTCTCAGGGACCGGCCTAAGAAAGTTAATTAAAAATTAATTATTCCACAAATGTAAATGCTTCCTGAATCTGGGAGGAAGGAATACAAGAGTTCTTTGTACTGTGCGAACAATTTATGTAAGCCTTAAATTATATCACACTAAAGTTACCCAATAGGTTAATTATTTCAACTAATATTAACCTTCTACTATTCAAAGACCCAGTCAACCTATCTCCCCAACAGATAAAGAGCTCAGGAGAAGGAAATAACATATTTCTTTGTATCTTCCTCCATCTGTGACTGGAAGAAAACAAGTGTTCATCAGATAATTGTAAAAGCTACAAAAATAATAATCAATAGAAGCAATAGGACCAAGCTGGGAAGTGGGAAGAGAGCAGCCGCAGTCATTTGTCTTTTTTTTCGGTGGGGTGGGCGGTGCGTGCACAGAACCATGTGAGGAGGTGACAGAATCAGCAAAGAGAACGCTGGGCTTAGAAGACATGGCTTCTAGTCCTGGCTGTGTACTGTGTTTGATCTCGGAGGCATTCTCTGATGCCTTTGATCCTTATCTACTAAAATGGCATATAAGCTGGTTGAATGTCTTGATGTCCCAGCTACATCCCAGTTCTGATTCTCTAGGGGTATGTAAGGGGGGCAGTCCAGGCCCCCGCCTCAGCCTCCACTTCCCTCCCTCAGTCCTAATCCCACCAGGTGCCTCCCCACTTGCTTCCTAGACCACCAGACAGACAGGCAGAAGGTCAGTGTCTCAGTCTGGGAGAAAACCTAACGGGATTTTTGCTGGGGAAAGGAATGGACCATGATGCTCTTATGCTAGAGCTCTTTTTTCAAATGAACATCTGGTATTTTTTAAAGTGATCTGATTTCTCCATGCCTTTTTCCAGACAATATGCTGCACTGGGAAAAGCTAAAAGGGACGCGAGCATTCCAAGTCTCCGCCCTGCAGCCGAGAGAGGTTCTCAGAGAGGTTCTCCTTCACTTCCAGGCAATAAGGGTGAAAGTGGGCACTCGAGCCCAACTGGCAGAAAAGACAACTAGACATGGGCCCAGTTTCAGCACCCTCTCTGTCAACAGGCTTCCAACAGCCACAACGAAGAGACACCAAAGGAGAAGCAAAATTCTCCCCCCTTGGTCTGAAATTATTTATTGTGTTAATTATATGCAAAATTCTAGAGTAGTATCCAGCCAGGAAATTCATCACCTGCATTAAATATAAGATAAAACTGAAGTCCTTTTGCTATTTTAATGTTGGAACAGAGGCATTAATGTGAGAGAACTGTACAGTCACATATCTGTGACTGTCTCCCACACAACAGCTTCAAAATTTGTCCCAAGACTAAAAACTCTAAAAGTGATTAAAAAGGCGGGGGGCAGGAATTTGTGCCCACGTACAGCACTGCGGCACAGTGAGACAGCCAAGTGTTCCTTCACTATGCACATCACGGGTGGGGAGCAAAGGACTCAAGATGCCCACACGAGGCAGAACCGTGTAAGCCAGGTGAAGGTGAAGCTGGAGCCCAACTTCCCACCACCTCTACAGGCAGGTCTGGCCGTCCTAAATTCATCAGCGCCCCCTCTGTCTCACAGTGCAGGGATGCATGGCTCTGTGGGTCCACGGGCTCTTGTAGGTCATGTGGTACAAATCCCCATAGGCTGGGGAGGAAAGAGAGGTTACAGATTATCTCTTCAACCGTAGCAGGGTGCTCCACAACCTAGTGATAAGCTTTTTTGGTATGGAGGTGACGGAGCTCACAGGACGTTTGGACTAGTGCATCAAAAGGCTGCCACTGGGGCTTCCCTGGTGGCGCAGTTGTTGGGAGTCCGCCTGCCGATGCAGGGGACGCGGGTTTGTGCCCCGGTCCGGGAGGGTCCCACGTGCCGCGGAGCGGCTGGGCCCGTGAGCCGTGGCCGCTGGGCCTGCGCGTCCGGGGCCTGTGCTCCGCAGCGGGAGGGGCCGCAGCGGTGAGAGGCCCGCGTACCGCAAAAAAAAAAAAAAAAGGGCTGCCACTGTCAGAAAAGAAAAACACTAAAATTTCTAACTACTAAGATTCAGGGATTATGAATACAGATACTGCAGCCTCAAAGGAAAGAGGGACGACCCGTTTGACATCGCGAGAATGTCAATGCGAAACCTCTGTGCTAAGAGTTGGCTCCCAACAGGCAGAGGCTTGGGGATTTAGAGCAAAGAAGAGAAAATAAGACCTCCAAGGTCCTATTTCCCATATAAGAACAATCTCAACAGACACACGGAGGTGGGCGCCAGGGCCTCTGGTAGAATAATGTCTCTCCCCTGCTCAGGCTCCTGTGCAGAAGCAGCAGCAAAGCCGGGCAGCGTGCTCCTCCGCATGCCTTACGCGTAGTGAATGATGGCGCCGTTGGGTCCCGTACTGGAAATTGTTGGGAAGCTCAGGTCCACAAAGTCAGCCTGCTGCCTGGAACAGAAAGACACACAAGAGCAGAGTGGCTTAAAGGTTTTTACTGTGCCAAGAATCAGGGCCCTCCCGGCTTCATTTAACTTGCCAAGGAAATGAGCACAAGGTTCATGGGCCCCCAAAGTGATCCTTACCTGCGGAATTCCTCAGCTTTGTCAGCAGCTGAGATCTCCGTCACGCCACCTTTGGGCACCTATAAGGAAGTTGCTTATAAACCACTGGGGTGTGATAAATTCATCCGTCTCCTACATATTATAGGAGGTGCATTAAAAGCTTACTTTTTCCTCAATCCCCATGTCCCAACTGTCCAATCTATAGGACACAGCATATGTCTCATCTTTACAAGGAGGGAATTTCCAAAGGCTCTTACCAAAGCCATCTAAAAGTAGAAGCGTTTCTATACATTTAATTTTTCACTCAACTATTTCCCTCAGTGTTATATCCTGAAAACTTCCAAAACTTAATACACCTAAATTGAAAAATTAAAAAGCACCCCCACCTAGGATATCATCCTAAGAAAGTGATCCTAAATAAATAAAAAAGATAAATGCAAAGATATTATTACAAGATGTTTGGTAAGTGCAAAAAAAATTTAAAACAATCTAAAACATTTAAAAATAGAAGGAATGGGTAAATAAATCAGTCTAGCTACTAAACACAGTCTCTATTTGAATCATTTTTTTAAAGACCTCAAAGCACATGGAAAATGCTCACACTATGATAAGTAAATAAAATAAACAAAATACAAAATCGTAGCTATACGGTGAGAGGCATGTAAAAATGACTTATGTTGAAAAAACAATGTACACAGGTAAACAACTGCCAAAGAGGAAAAAACTGTTACACCAGTGGGAATCAGGGTGATATTTTCTTCTTCCAATTTAAGCTTCTTTAAAAGAGTTGTTTATATAATATTTAAAGGGAATATGATATTGTTTAATAAGAGCACAAAGAAATCACCTTCCTGTCAACTACAAGGAGTGAAAGGGCAAGAAACTAATGCCCAGGAATCAATTTAATATAAAAAGTTTTATGGCTTAAAGTTCAAAACATACACAAAGATCTTTTTTCTCTTAACACAGTCAGCTTGCCTGTAAATAAGAGTCATTTTTTCTTATAATGAAACTCCACTTAGTTATAAGACAATTCCTTAACCACAAAGGATCCATTCTGTTAAGGAATTTCTTTCTTCATCTTTGTTACTACTGTCCATAATTAAAGAATTTTTAAATACACACACACCAAATTTCCACAAAGAACTATTAAAAGAGAGTACTAAAATTAGATCAAGATCTTAGACCTCGTGGTCAACCAGAGCCACAGTTCGAATCACATGTAGATAATTTCTGAATAATCTATATCCATGTGTTAAACAAAGACTAAGAACCAACCTCTTTCTCCAGCCAGTTAAAGAGTTCACAGAGGGCAACAGCATCTTTAATCTGTGCAAATAACAGAGACATTTTTTAAAGTTATTACTGAAAATCAGATGGGCAGATTCAAAGCCCAGCCCTAATGTGATACTGAGAGGGCTGCACTTATAGGGCTACAAACCATCAGCAATCAGGGCTTTACATGCAGGCATTTCCTGTGAACAAGTGTGCAGCGATTTCCACTATGGGGGAAAGGGCTCCCCTGCTGTTGAGTAGTTCAGGCACAATCAGGAAGGGGCCCACCTCAGAGCACACAGGAGCACCCTCAGAGGGGTCATTCCTGTGCTACTGGAGCAGGAAAGAAAAGCCACTGTCAAAAGCCGTCTCTGGGGCTTCCCTGGTGGCACAGTGGTTGGGAGTCTGCCTGCCAATGCAGGGGACGCGGGTTCGAGCCCTGGTCTGGGAAGATCCCACATGCCGCAGAGCAACTGGGCCTGTGAGCCACAACTACTGAGCCTGCGTGTCTGGAGCCTGTGCTCTGCAACAAGAGAGGCCGCGATAGTGAGAGGCCCACGCACCGCGATGAAGAGTGGCCCCCACTTGCCACAACTAGAGAAAGCCCTCGCACAGAAACGGAGACCCAACACAGCCATAAATAAATAAATTAAAAAAAAAAAAAAGCCGTCTCTGGGTCCCAAATCTTTCTAGATCCGCTGCTGGCCTTGAAACACAAATCTAGGCCTCTTCAGAGGCTTCACCTTCATCATTACCATCACCTACACTATCATCATCAATCTCCTTTTGTGTTTTATGTTATATTATGTAAAGATCTAGCCCATCCAGTATTTTATTTCATTCTCCCATTAACTCTGGAAAGCTCAGAGAAGTTCCCACGTTGTGCCAGGCTCAAGGCCACACAGCAGGTGAGGGAGCTGGGCCTTCTGACCACCATGCATCCCCTCTTCTGCACAGGCTGCTTTACTCACGTGAGCTCTCCTCATGCCTTCTGATTCAGCAGAATTCTTCACAGCTTTGGCGATGCAGATGGGGGTGTAAGGCATACAGCAGCGATGATCCTGGGGCAAAAGGCAAGTCATATGGGAAATGGAGTCTGGCTCCACTCACCCAAGACCAAGGCTATCACCTCTCCACCCAGCACAGCACACTTAAGACAAATCATTGGAAGAGCTCCCACTCAGGACCCACCCAGCTGTCCCCTGGGGCCCGAAGACCTGCCCTTTCTGGTTGGTGACTCTGAGCATGGCCAAAGGTGCTTGAACTCATCCAGAAAGATAAAGTAAAAACATAAAACAAGTTATTTCTCGTCTATCCCCCACCCCGTAGCTTTTTGAGACTGCTGGCTACCAGCCATCAGAGAGATACTGCTTTTCAAACCTCCAAGGTCATGGTCAGAGTTCACTAACAGATCAAAGCTTGACCGAAACCACCCCTTTCTGGCTGCACAAAGGAGGCTTTTTCCCACTGTCTAGGGACGCACATGACAGGTGAGGGGGGGGAGGGGAGGCTCCTGCTCAGGGACCAGCTACTGTTAAAGGTCTGATCTTAAAGGGCCTTAAAGGGCCGCGGAAGAGCCTTCCCAATTTGAAAACCAGTTAGAATTCAGCCCTGTGTTACAGGGAGGGGGGAGGGATTTTGCACCACTTTGCACTTGCACTAGCACAGAGCTTCTCAAAGGACTTTCCCTCTCTCCACTCTCCTTGCTCTCTCTCTCTGAGATACCTACCTGTCATGAGACAAAGGCAGGCATGATCCCCAAGGAGGTAAAGCTCTGAGTAACTATGGCATGCAGTGTGACAGTGACAGGGGTGCAATGGCAGGCCAGGTCTAGAGGGCCAAGCCTGGGCTCCTCCCAAGATGGCCCACTGCTAAGTGGAGGAGAGAGGGCCAGGGCAGGACAGTCAAAAAGGCTACAACTCCTTAGGTAGATTTATTCCTAGATATTTTATTCTTTTTGTTGCAATGGTAAATGGGAGTGTTTTCTTGATTTCACTGTCAGATTTTTCATCATTAGTGTATAAGGATGCCAGAGATTTCTGTGCATTAATTTTGTATCCTGCTACTTTACCAAATTCACTGATTAGCTCGAGTAGTTTTCTGGTAGCATCTTTAGGATTCTCTATGTATGACCTGTCAATGACAGGTCATGTCATCGACCTGTATGCAGAAAATTATGACACTGATGAAAGAAATTAAAGATGACACAAATAGATGGAGAGATATACCATGTTTTTTGATTGGAAGAAACAACATTGTGAAAATGACACTACTACCCAAAGCAATCTACAGATTCAATGCAATCCCTATCAAACTACCACTGGCATTTTTCACAGAACTAGAATGAAAAATTTCACAATTTGTATGAAAACACAAAAGACCCCGAACAGCCAAAGCAATCTTGAGAACGAAAAATGGAGCTGGAGGAATCAGGCTCCCTGATTTCATACTATACTATAAAGCTACAGTAATCAAGGCAGTATGGTACTGGCACAAAAACAGAAATATAGATCAATGGAACAGGATAGAAAGCCCAGAGATAAACCCATGCACATATGGTCACCTTATCTTTGATAAAGGAGGCAAGAATATACAGTGGAGAAAAGACAGCCTCTTCAATAAGTGGTGCTGGGAAAACTGGACAGGTACATGTAAAAGTATGAAATTAGAACACTCCCTAACACCATACACAGAAATAAACTCAAAATGGATTAAAGACCCAAATGTAAGGCCAGACACTATCAAACTCTTAGAGGAAAACACAGGCAGAATGCTCTATGGCATAAATCACAGCAAGATCCTTTTTGACCCACCTCCTAGAGAAATGGAAATAAAAACAAAAATAAACAAATGGGACCTAATGAAACTTCAAAGCTTTTGCACAGCAAAGGAAACCATAAACAAGACCAAAAGACAACTCTCAGAATGGGAGAAAATATTTGCAAATGAAGCAACAGACAAAGGATTAATCTCCAAAATTTACAAGCAGCTCATGCAGCTCAATAACAAAAAAACAAATAACCCAATCCAAAACTGGGCAGAAGACCGAAATAGACATTTCTCCAAAGAAGATATACAGATTGCCAACAAACACATGAAAGAATGCTCAACATCATTAATCATCAGAGAAATGATGGAGAAAAGGGAACACTCTTGCACTGTTGGTGGGAATGTAAATTGATACAGCCACTATGGAGAACAGTATGGAGGTTCCTTAAAAAACTACAAATAATATTACCATACGACCCAGCAATCTCACTACTGGGCATATACCCTGAGAAAACCGTAATTCAAAAAGAGTCATGTACCAAAATGTTCATTGCAGCTCTGTTTACAATAGCCAGGACATGGAAACAACCTAAGTGTCCATCAACAGATGAATGGATAAAGAAGATGTGGCACATATATACAATGGAATATTACTCAGCCATAAAAAGAAACAAAATCGAGTTATTTGTAGCGAGGTGGATGGACCTAGAGTTTGTCATACAGAGCGAAGTATGTCAGAAAGAGAAAAACAAATACCGTATGCTAACACATATACATGGAATCGAAGAAAAAGAAAAAAAGTAATGAAGAATCTAGGGGTAAGATGGGAATAAAGACACAGACCTACTAGAGAATGGACTTGAGGATATGGGGAGGGGGAAGGGTAAGCTGTGACAAAGTGAGAGAGTGGCATGGACATATATACACTACCAAACGTAAAATAGATAGCTAGTGGGAAGCAGCCGCATAGCACAGGGAGATCAGCTAGATGGTTTGTGACCACCTAGAGGGGTGGGATAGGGAGGGTGGGAGGGAGGGAGACACAAGAGAGAAGAGATATGGGAACATATGTATATGTATAACTGATTCACTTTGTTATAAAGCAGAAACTAACACACCATTGTAAAGCAATTATACTCCAATAAAGATATTAAAAAAAAAAAAAAAAGGCTACAACTAAGGTACCTTGAACTCCTGTGCCAGGCCTCAGTTAAAATGAGGGGGAAGGTGTCAGCTTCTTAGCACCACCCAGCAGGGGCTCAGTCAAGGGCAGGGCTATCAGTATCATTTGACCTTTGACAAATCCCCAACTCCCAAAGCCTCCCTGGGCCTCAGGTCTCCTTAACTATGCAATGTGGTGGGAGAGGTGGGTGGAGGGTAGTGTCTCCCAAACTTCAGATACTCTCATACCACCTGCACAGGTCTTACCCTAGCTGCTACCCCCTGGACCCTTATTTACTAAGACTTTTCTTTAGACTATCTTTGAATCAACATAGGTTACTGAACTCAACTCTCTCTTAAGAAACAATTTTTATAATATATGCTCTCATATGCTAATCATATTTTTTTCTAGTACACACTAAAACACTTATTTTATAGTTGATATACAGTATTATATAAGTGCGAGGTATACAACACAGTGACTCATAATTTTTAAAGGTTAAATTCCATTCAAAGTTATTATAAAATACTGGCTATATTCCCTCTGCTATACAATATATCCTTGTAGCTTATTTATGCTATACATAGTAGTGTGTACCTCTTAATCCCATATCCCTATCTTGCCCCTCCCCGCTTCCCTCTCCCCACTGGTAACCACTAGTTCATTCTCTGTTACTGTTAAAATGTTTTTAAAACAGAGACATTTAAATAAACCTAAGTATGAATGTGTACCACCTAAAATCATCTCTCATGTCACGTTTTGGAAAACACAGAACTCAATGGGTTCTAAAAGCCTCACACTCCAGCCCAAAGGGCTCATCCAGGGAGACGACACCGCAGACCCAACAGCCAGTCCTGGAAATCTGCCTGAACAACCTCTGCTTCAAAGACAAGCCGCACAATGCCAGGACTGGAAAGGGCCTGGCAGCTGGAGTGGCAGGTTTAGATGGGTCTCTGGGGCTACCAACCTTGGGGATGGCCTCACTCACGGCATAGCTGGCCTTGTCGCTGACCCACACCTTCTCCCTCGGGGATAGGCTGGCGCACAGGGTCTTGAGCTCGCTCAGGATGGACTTGTAGGGAAGCACCTGGATTCTGTATTCAGCTTCCAGGCCCAAGTCAAGCAGCAGGTGCTCCTTCACACTGGGGGCATCTGTGCGGTCGCCATCAATGAAGAGCCTGCAGAGGGGCCAGAGGTGAGGTGACAGAAAAGGTGGGCACAGGAGTGAGAGGACAAGAACACAGACCCACACACAAGCGACAGGCTCTACCTCCCGGCATCCAAACCAAGCAGTTTCTCTTTCCTCCATGCCCTTCCCAAATCCTGCTCCCTAAACTGCATTCCCTGCCCTGTGTATGCTGTCACCTTCCACCCCACTCCCCAAGCCAGGACCTGGGCACTGTCCTCCTTGATGCTCCTCCTTCGCTCCTACATTGAGATCTTTGAACCTATAGCCTAAACACCCCTCAAACCTCTCCAGCTTTCACTGTAGCCTGGCCCAGTTGCTGCCCAGGTTCAGGTCACTACCGTCTCTCACTTGGATCAGTGCCACAGCCTCCTAACTGGTCTCCCTGCCTCCAGTCTTCCCTATCCACCCTATTTTTCGCAGCAATCATAATTCACCCCGTAATTTCACTCCAATCATAACATTCTTTATGATTTACAAGGCTGACCATGTAGTTCCGTGTGAAAAACTCATTCAGTAGCTCCGCAGCATCCTCAGGACAAAAGCCCCAAGCTCCTGAACCTGGCTCACAAGGCCTTCCTTATGGGGGCCCTGCCCATCTGCCGGCTTCCCACTCCAGGTTCCAACCACACTGGACCACTCTGGGTCCTCCACGCACACTGTGCTCTCTCCTGCCCAGAGCCTCTGAAAATGCTGCTTCCCCTGCTTAGATCACCATTCCTCTTCCTCCTCGCCCCCTACTCACCTAACTAACCCACACATACCCTTAATCTCTGACTCAATATTACTTTCCCCAAAAGCCTCCTCTGACCCTTTCAGGCCCCTCCAATAACACCCATACCCAGCCCAATGACAAGTTAGTGCCCACTATGTGCCCAAATGCCCTCAGGAAACCTCTCATCTCTGCAACTCTAACCCAGGACCCTGTCTTCTGTCTCATTCACCCCAACACCTAACAGAGACCCCAGCACATAACAGGCACTCAATAAATATGTTGTCTGAATGCAGAAAGCCATCCAAATAAGAAGAGCAATGGCAGGTTGGCCACAAGCAGCAGTTTAAAAGATAAACTGACAAGGCACGGCTCAGGGGGTTTTTCTGTGTCACTTCTGACCTTCCAGAATGACTGGGTCTATTTGCATCGTGGACCCAGGATTGTATGACAGAGCCCATATTCCCCTTGGCATTGGCTGCTAGGAAACCTGGAATCAAATGTATGGCCTGAACAAGACTTTGCAGCAGGATTTTGTGAACTAACCTCACTCTCTCCAGTTTTGTTCTGATGTCCTCCACCACCTATTTTTTTTTATCTCCTAGTACTACAGAGACTTTCAGAGATTTCAAATCATTTTCAGGATTAAAAGAGAGGCAGGATATAAATAAATATCTATTGTTAAGGAAGACAAGAAGGGGAAGGAAGAGAGGCAGGAAAGGGAAAGGGCAGGAGAAAAGCAGCGTGCTAGCACACGTCAGGCTGAGGCTGGCGGGCCCGGGCCAGAAGGGGGCGACAGGGGCTCTGAGGAGCTGTGGGGAAGGACTTTCAGGCACGGGGCCAACACTCACATGATGGTCTCTAGTCCTATGATTGCATAGGAGAAAAATACTGGATTGTGCTCCACATCTGCTCCTCGGAGATTGAACAGCCCTGAAAAAAAAAAAAGTTCCTGTCACCTGCCTGAGTGAGAGTTTAAGGGGTAGGTTGTACAGCAAGGGAAGAGCTTCCACTCGCTAGGGAAGGACTGGGCGGCATCTCTCAGAGAAGCTGGGAGCCTCACTTCCTGGTCCCACCTCTGAGCTGCAGTTGCTCATATCCGCCAAATGATGGCACCAGAACTGTTTCTTACGCTACTGCATCACCATCCCAAGAAGGGGATGGAAGAGTTATTAGTCAGAAAACCCAACAAATGCCCTCCAGACAAGAGTTGAAATGGTCCACCTGGCGGTGACCTGCCAGGCCTAGCAGGCCTGACGTGCCACAGAAAAACGCTCTGGCACTCCCAAATACAGGGGACGGAGCCAAGCACTCGCTCCCTTCTGAGGGGAACACCTAGAGTAGAAAAACTGAGACCCACCCATGAGGGAGGCCAGATGAGGCCCTCTGTGCGAGGGTCAAGAGCCCCAGGAAGGCGGGGCTTCCTGGCAGAGGAACAAAAGCAGTGAGTCAGCGGGGCTCCGGCCCACGAATGAAACCCGAGCCTACGGCCCACCCGGAACCACGGCTGGGTGGAGGACCTGCCTTGGCCAATGTCAGGGGGTCTAGTGCGGTCACTGCGTGTTGGAGAAACTAGAGGGACCAGCAGAGAGCACAGCTCTCGTCCGTCCGAGGACTTCCAGCTACCTAATGCTTGCTCTCCTGAGGATCAGAGTGCAGAGAAGGCCCTGGCGTGAAAAGCACTGCCTCTATTTTAAAATCATGGCTTCGCAAAGTAAAGCAATGAGGCAACATGTTTTACCTATCAGACCAAACTAGCACTCTTTTTAAATGACAGCACCTGGGGCTGTCGAGGGTGTGGCGAGAGGGATGTATTCTGTGCAACGTTTCCGGCGGGTACATGGCAAAATGGTCAAAAGCCCTGCCACGCACACGCCCTCTAATCCATAACACCACCTCTAAAGCCAACCAGAAGTTGGAAGAAAATTATCAGAAACTAAGACATGGATTGTGAGGCACCAAGACTTTGATGGATGTAACAAAAATCACGAAAAAATTGGAAATTACTCAAAGGGCATACGTAGGGGAATGGTTAAGTAATTATGATACAACCATATGATGAGATATTTAATATTCACTTAAAATTATGCTTATGTATGCTTAGATTATCCCGATACACTGGAAAAAAATCTAGCTACAAAACTACAAATGTGCAGAATGTTAACTGTGATTCTCTGTGTGTAAGGAAATTATAGGTGATTTTGTTTCTTCTTTCTACTTCCTCTGCACTTTCCAGGTTTTCCGCAATGGAAATGTGTGTCTTTTTAATAATAAAGGAGAAAAATTAGCTTTATATGTTATTTTCTCCAACGTTAAATTTATTTAGTTAATTAGGGATATAAATCACTGACACTCTTGACAAAGTTTGGAACTGGGGATTAGAGAGCTAGGACACTGTGCAGTAAACTTTCTTTCTCTAGTGAGAAAAATCAAAGGATAAGGCAGTGCCTTGTCTCAGGTACCCTGGGTCGAATCCAGTCAGAAAACAGCAGGCAGAATAAGAAGATTCCTTCAGGTTCTGAACAATTCCATGGGGGTAGTTTAAGGTCTAAAGATTAAAAGACTGCTATTGTACCAAAAGGCTTGTTGAAGAACTTTCAGTTCCTGAGTTTTCTGAAGTAGAAATATTTCTAGAACATTCTCATTGTGAAGAACTTGGGGATATACAGGAAAAGAATAAAGAAAAAAATATCTCCTGTGATCTTACTTCTATACCCGTAGAGACACACAAATGTTGACAGGCACCAAAAGTTTGTTGGAAATGTCCCTCCTCAGAGATGTCACAGTCCTGAGTAGACTGGCCAGAGGGGGACATCATCACAGATTTAACATCAGCCCCTGGCTGTAATACAGCTCCAGACCAAGCTACATTCCCCTCCCCGACTCCCTATAATTACTTCTCCATCCTACTCGGCATATCATATACCCCACTGGTGACAGTCTTTTGCTTATTCCCTGGCCACTCAGAAAGCTGAATTGCATGAACACACAGATTCCCAGAGAACCAATGCAGAGACTGGGTAACACACCCCAACAGTGAAACCAGAGCACTCACATGCAATCTCATCCAGGGCAGTGACCACAAACCACACGACGTTCCTCTCGGCCATTTTCAACCGAAGATCTACAACTTTGTCCTTCCAGGAGATGCCTGCAAGAAACAAACATACTTGCGACTCCAGCCCTGGTCTGGTCCCAGGGACCTGCGGAAGCCAAGTGAAAGAACCCATTCCAAACATTTTTAACCAGCACCATATCCCAGGGAGCATGTTATCTGAGCAGACAGGAGGCCCAGATTCAAGCCCCATACATGAGAAGTGACTCTAAACTAGCTGACTGTCAAGAGCCCTGACTACCTCAAAGAAAAAGTAATTCATTTGTTCATCCAACAAATGTCTATGAAGCACCTACACTTCCCAGGCACAGATATCTGCAGGTACCATGCTGGTCACTGTGGTTACAGCTCTGAGCTACATGCAGTCCTTGCGCTCATGGGGCTTACAATCTGGAAGGGAAGACAGACAATTAAACCAGCAATTAGTGAGACTTCCCTGGTGGCACAGTGGTTAAGAATCCACCTGCCAATGCAGGGGACATGGGTTCGATCCCTGGTCTGGGAAGATGCCACATGCCTTGGAGCAACTAAGCCCGTGAGCCACAACTACTGAGCCCATGTGCCACAACTAATGAAGCCCGCACACCTAGAGCCCGTGCTCTGCAACAAGAGAAGCCACCGCAATGAGAAGCCTGTGCACCGCAATGAAGAGTAGCCCCCGCTTGCCCCAACTAGAGAAAGCCTGCACAAGGCAACGAAGACCCAACACAGCCAAAAATAAAATAAATAATTTTTTTTAAAAACACCAAAAAACCAGCAATTAGTTACACTTCTGTACAGGGAGCTTTGAGAACACACTACCCAGCAGAGAGAACTCACCGAGTCCTAGAGGTCAGGGGAATATCACCTACCACTTTACATTCCTGGAGATACGAGACTTGCCCTTCAGTGCTAAGACCGAGGAATTCTCTACAGTCTGACTCAGTGTGACAACCACTTCCAAATCACACTTGCAACTGTCAGACACAGCCACGGCCTCCCTGCTCTCCCCAGGATGAAACTGGGGTCCTAGAGGAGCTCACCCCATCACTACCACCACCACCACCACCCAGCATGAAACAGCACATGTAACGCAGGGCGCAGCCACCTGTGAACACGGCAGGCATCTGTCTTATTCGCCCAGCACCTAGCAGTGTCCTGTACACAGCAGGCACTCATGTGTCTGCTGAACAGAAGTTTTACCAGCCACGCCTGCTCTCCCCGCTTCCATAAGCAATAGGTCAGAGCCTCTGCTTCAGTTGAACAAAACTCAAAACACGCTGATGGAAAATGTTGAGCTGACCCTGGGCCACTCACTGGACCCATCCCCCTAATCTGTAATACCCTCAGGTGAGGGTGTCACAAGGAAAGCAAGCTGGGGGCTGTCCCCACAACTAAATGCTGCTTTGAAGACCAGCTTGGGAATGCTGTTTAAAACTTGACTGAGAGTCTGGGCTGTAATGCTTTCTTCCCAGGACCCCTCTGGGCAATGTGCCTACATTCCAGACATCCCCCATCCACCTCTCCTCTGCCTTTTCTACAGCAAGGCTCCCTCCCCTGCAGCCCCACCTCCCAGGCCTTTCCCTCTGCACTCCTCACTCTTCCATAAATCACACTTTCGTCTCCCACAAAACGTTCACAGAACTTGCTCCTCACTCACCACTACCACACAAGCCAAAGAAACCCACCCACACCCCAAAGCTACTAAAGCAGAGGACAGACGGAAGGAGGGCGCCTGGGAAGGTAAACGTACAAATGCTGACAGAAGAAAAGGAAACGGAATCTAGAAACCTCTAGGCTCACTATAGTCCAATAAAAATTAATTTAAAAAACAAAACAAAAGACAATCTGCTAAGGCTGGGGTGTGTATACAACCTAATCAGCTGTTGACACTGATTGTGGATTAATAAATATGAGGAGGAAAAAAATTTAAATAAAGAAATAAAACTCTCAAGGTGACTAAATCAAAAAAAGAAAAGAAAAGAAACCTTTAGTCTGTTTCCAATATTAGACACGTTAGAGGGGCAGTTAGCAACTGAATGGTAAAAAAGCCATCTCAGCAGCACCCACAGGTCTGCCCAGAGGAGCTTTGCAAGAATAAACTATGCCAAAGTAGGTGGCAACTGTGGAAACAAACTGAACTCGTGCTGTATCAAATGCCCCATGTGCCAGGGTGGGGCAAAATCCTCCAATCAGTTCAAGCTCGACCTGGATTCAGAGGACTTTCGTTTAGGTGAAGGGGCCGATGGTCGGGGGCCTTCTGGGCACAGCTGTGGTTCTGACCTGTGTAATCCAGGCCCAGTGTGATGAGGGGCTTGCACGGACGCTCAGGCCGGTCTGTCCAGATCTTGTCCACAAGGTTCTCCTTGACAGGAATGAGGTGGTGGCCAGCGCTTCTCAGAACCTTGGCCATCTTCTTCCAGTAATCTGAGGAGAAACACACGTGGTCTAGCTATGAACTGAACGGCCTTCACAGGCGGCAGGGCTCTGAGAGCCTGGCGCCTCCTGAAAGGCTACCCCGTGGCCAGTGCTCCTCCTCACCTTGACCTCTGTTGTGACATCAAATCATGCTGAGCCCCCAAACGTTCCACAACCCACAAGCAAACAGGGAGGATGGAGAGGCCTCTAGAACTCACTTCCTCACCCAAGATGAAAGGGCCTATGCTTACTCACCTGTAGGAATGATCAGTGGGTCCACACCCACCCTGGATCCTTCAGGAAGCACGCTCACCAGCCAGTCTTCCTGAGTTGGTGTGTCCTTCAGACCTACAGAGGGAAGAACTGATGAGAAACAATTCCCAGGGCACCCGAGCTCATTGTCCTATCCAGAAGGAGGCAATTCACCAACATCATGATAGCAGGGTCTTTATTAAGCACCTTCTTCAAAGAGAATCGACAGCACTTGGAAAATCTGAGCTTCCCTTAATCCTGGAAGGCTATGAAAAGTGTAAGGTGCTATAAAAGGAAAACATAAAGTAAGATGGTATATAAGGAATGGGTGAGACAGAAGAAAAAAAGAAACAGGATTTTCATTAGACCCCTGGTAAAAGGCATCCCAGGAATCACTGCAATACAGGTACATGGTGTCATCGTGAAGATCGTCTTGTATCAGCCTTCGGTCACTTTACCACTACTGGTGATGAAACGGTGGGTGGTGATATGGTGAAGGTTAGAGCTGGGAGCCTCCCTTACATCGCACACCAGGTAAGGGGAACACACACCACAGTGCCCTCCCCTTATCTGCAGGGCAGCATTGCAGAGTGAAGGCCCCCGCCAGACAACCAGGCCTGACTGGCAGCAGAGAAACGTATCCAAAGACTGTAAGAGGGACACACAGGAACCCAACATCGTGTCTTTAACTGGCTCCCTGGGCTTCCCAACTACCAAGAACAAACAGTCAAAGGACACCAAATAAGCTTCAAAAAAGGAACTAAATTATTTTTATATCCCCGTTTTCCTTTAATTCGACACAGTATCTTGTATGTTTCAGATGTATACTTTTTCCATCAAATTTTTGCTAAACAACTAACATTTTGAGAAAATATTAAGAGCGAGAGTTCACATATTCTGAAATAGTAGTTTTACCATTCTCCCTAGCGAGTACTGATAACCACATAACCACAGAAGGGAAGTTCAAAGGTCTGTAAAGAAATGAGCTCATGGGACTTCCCTGGTGGTCCAGTGGTTAAGAGTCCGCCTTCCAATGCAGGGGACGTGGGTTCGATCCCTGGTCGGGGAACTAAGATCCCATGTGCCTCAACCACCTCGATGCCAACTAAGCCCAAGCGCCACAACCACCAAGCCCGCACGCCTCAACTAGAGAAACTGTGTGCCGCAAACTACAGAGCCCACATGCTTTGGAGCCTGAGCGCCACAACTAGAGAAGCCCGCACGCCGCAACAAAGAGCCCGCATACTGCAACTAAGACCCCCACGTGCTGCAACTAAGACCCAATGCAGCCAAAAAAAGCAAACAAATAAATAAATATTTAAAAAAAAAAAAAGAAATGAGCTCATGAATCTGTTCTAAAAAACTGCCTAGAAGCTGGCACTGAGTTGTTATTTTGTTATTTGATTCTTTCCTATTTTTTTCAAACCGCGAAACAAGCCACTTACTAACAAAGTTTCTTTAATGCCCCTAGTATAACTTTCACAGGATGAAGTCATATCATCTCCTAGAAGACAGATGTTTGGCAAAAACCCCAGGGATGAACCACTCCCCAACTACACCCACCAGAATCTCCCTACACAGGAGAGACAGTGAGGAGGTGGGCTTAGGGCAGAAACTAGGGAGGGGCTTGGAAGGGAGAAGGACTCACCCGCTGGGGCTGTCCTAGAGGACAGGCAGACAGTATTCGCTCCTCTGACACTCTGACCCCCAAAGCGCTGACTTATCTAACAGCTGGAGTTTAGGCCCCAAAGAGAGATGACCACACCCCAGAGGCACACTGAATGATCCTGGGGTACAAGCAGAAAGTATTAGGACTTCCATTTGTAATTTTTCTTAAAAAATAAGATATTAATCTTTGCTTGTATTTGAAATACAGATGGACTGGGCGCATATACCATCAACAGAGGCATGTAATCAAAAAGTTTAAAGGTCTAGTGGCCTATCCATTTATAATAGCCCTACAACCCCAAGTGCCTCTGTGTGTGTGTGTGTGTGTGTGTGTGTGTGTGTGTGACAGAGAGAGAGAGAGAGAAGAGGGAGGACAACTGGGGCAACAACCACCTGTAGCTTTGATGTTTCTATATTTTTAAAAACTTGAGAAATGGAAATTTAAAATAAATCCACTGCCAGGATAAAAACGTTCCTAATTCCTCCCTCCCTAAGACAAACAACATTTATATATGTGGAGAGTGTGTGAAACACACACACACACACACACACACACACACACACACACACACACACACACACACACTACCTCAGTAGGCTAACTGCTTGGATCTTGGAGTCAACTCAACTCAACTCAGCGTCAACAGCCCTCTGTTCTGTGAACCATGAGTCTGGTAACAACCTGATTTCCTCATTACTTCCAATTACAAACAAGAAATATCAGGGATTTGGCCTCATCTTCTCTTCCTCACTCAGCCCTGGTAGCCCCTTTTCCCTCCTTCTATTGTCCAAGTTCAAAATTCAGCAGGCAGAGACCTTTGTACAACCACTAAAATCATGTTTCAAAAGACTATTGTAGTGACAAGGAAAAATACAGCACAAAATTAAATGAAAAAACAAGAGTACACACACACACACACACACACACACACACACACACAATCATTATCCAATAAACACTGAGCTCTATGCTTCCCATATTCTTTAACCCTCACCATTTTATGTGGTACTTACTATTACTATTCCACCTTACATATGAGGAAACTGAAGCACTGAAGGTGAAGCAACTTGCCCAAGAAAGTTCCAGACCCATGCTCTTGCCCTATGGCTGAGCTGCCAGAAGCAAGTCAGGATCCTCAGAGGGAGAGCCTCCTAGCTTCAGTTGCCAATGGCCCCTTACCTTTATCTCACTTTGAATCATGAGGCAGCAAAGAGCAATGGAAAGGCCCCAGTGCATGAATCAAACGTACAGCAAAGCTATGTGAGCTGCAGCAAAGCAACTGTCCTCTCTGGCCCTCAGTTTCTCCTCACTGAAGCGAGTATCCTGAACCAGGATCTTCCAAAATTGAACGCGTAATGGTATGTGTATATCAGCATGTCATTTTCTTCGTTTTCCTTGTGCCATGAACTGGACTGTGTCCCCTCAAAATTCATACATTGAATGTAACTATATTTGGAGACAGGGGGTTTAGGAGGTAATTAAGGTTAAATGAAGTCATAAGGTAGAATTCTAATCCCGGAGGACTGGTGGCTTTCTAAGCAGAGGAACAGAGAGAGATAGCCATGTAAGGATATAGTGAGAAGGAGGCTGTCTGCACGCCAGGAAGACAGCTCTCACCAGAACCTGACCACAACAGCACCCTGATTTCAGACCTCCAGCCACCAGAAATGAAAAAGTAAATTTCTGTTGTTTAAGCCACCCAGTCTATGGTATTTTGTTTTGGTAGCCTGAGCAGACTAAGACACCTTGGATTCTAAAAGGGGCCCGTGGCCCCATAAAAGGGGGAAGATCCAGAAGCCCTGAGCAGCCCTAGGGTCCCCTGCCAGAGCTGTGGCCAACGAAGGCTGAGAAGGCCGTGCCTCTACGCACCCATCTTCATGAGCGTCCAGTTGCTGTCCATCTGCTTGGCAGCCTGGAGGAAGTAGCGCCCATCAGTCCACATGGCCGCGTGTTCTTCTGTGATGATGGCTGTGCCTACGGCAGGGGAGCAAAGAGATGAGAAAGGTTTCTGACCACCACACAGAAGCTGCACAAAACGGCAGCAGGCAGGCAAGCACGGTGAGGGGCACCAGATCCCGCGTGGCCTCACCACCGCTCTGGTGGGGCCTCTGGTGGGGCAGCAGGGCCTTTAACTCCAAGAGAAGCTCCAGGCAAGAGAAGATGATACCACTGAAAACCAGCTGTGGGCCAAGCTCTGAAAGAAACGGTCCTGAGTCAGCCTGGGTATTGGTCCCTGCACAGAAAGGACACCACTTGTACAGCAGGAGTCAAGGCCAGTAGAAAGAGGTCTGTGGACCTGCGGCCACAAGGGTCTCGTAATTAACAAGATAGTGGTGAATCTGCTCAGTGATCACAGCCATCTGCTCCACCAGACACCCTAAAGGAGGTGTTTACCTTTCCCAAGGGAGAGCACCTGGATGCTGTCAGTGTTCATTGTGATGCAGCAGTTGGTCACCAGCCGGGAGTTTATGCCTCCCACCTCTATCTGCCCTCAGTTCCCACAGGCCCAGCAGAACTCAGGGCTTTCAGCAGAGGTGTCAGCCAAAACCAATCCTAAAGTCCCTTTTACATCAACGGAAGCAGTGCACTAACTGCGAGGAGAGGGGCTCGCACCAAGTCTAGCAGCTTGAAGGATAGGAATCTGAAGGGGGGAACCCATCCTAAAACTCAAGGGCACAACAGCTTTGGGAAAGTTAGAGTAGGGCAACAATGTAGCTCAATATTCATCTTTGTTATTTAAGCTGAAACTGAAAACAGAGAAACCAAAAGTCAAGCGCTTAGACAATTACACAGGACCAATAGGCTAAGGAGGGGGGGGTTTTAAGGATGCTATTAGTGTCCCACTTCTTATTTGGAGTGCTAGTTACACAGGGGTATCCAGGTTAATTGATACACTTTTCTGTATGAATGTTACAGTTAATAAAAAGTTCAAAAATATTTTTTAAGTAACATTTTTTAAGATTTGAAAAGCAAAGGCATAGAGAAAAGAGACACTAAAATGTAAGCTTAGGAGCTGGGGATGCGGGGACCACATCCCCTCTGCAGAGGCTCAATGGGGACGTCTGGTTTGCATTTTTTTTTGGTTCTATATCACAGGCTGAAACCGGTTCTAGTTATTTTTGAGAGGCAAACAAAAGTACCAAAAGAACAAAGAGAATTTAGAAACTCACCTGCAGAGCCATCAAATCCAGAGACAAAGGCCCGCCGACAGTCACACGGAGCAATGTACTCACTCTATAAAACAAAAAGGACAAGGAATTGGACCTTGATCAGTCACATGCCGACTCTTGCTCAGCCCAGCAGGACTGCAAAGGCTGGCAAAGGCTGGCAAAAGCTGGGCACCTGCCTTCAAGGAACTGCCAATCTAGCTGAAAAGGCAAGCTGAACATTTTTTTTTTAATTAGTGCACACTACAGAAGACCCTAATTAATTACGGGCTAAAGGGCTGCTCCCTTTAACCTCCATTTTTTTCATCTGGAGAACAAAGCAAGTCAAGAGAAACAGATCAAAACTGCTCTTTCCTCCCTGAGATCTTACTCAAAAAACAAACCAATAGCCTTCTCCCTTCCTTGCCACTGACATTTAGGCATCTGTTATTTTTCTCAAAAGCCCGAATTTCTGTTTTATGTGCCAATAATTCTCTAACTTAAGTCTCTTTAGATATCAGCTTATTTCTGAACTTCCTGTTTGTATCCTCCATCCAAGGCAGTGTCACCAATCTCTCCCACGCAGCAGACCCTGTCCTTTCCTGTTAGGGAACAAAGGGAAATGCTTCCTCTAACCCAGGAGGCTTCAGCAAAATAAAACATCATGTTCAAATCCAGGTCCTTCCCAGCCAATAATCCCTTGCCTCTGAATGGAATGGGATTAGGGCTAAGAAGGTCAGAGGTTCCCATTCCTGGGGAAAGGGTATGAGGCCACATTGTGTAACTTCTGGTAATAGCCAGTGAGGCGTCAAGTAACTTGTCCAAAGTCACACAGCTAATAAGTAGCAGAGGCAGGATTTGAACCTGGGCGGTTTCAGAGCCTCAACTCTGAAGCCCTATGCCATGCTGCCCCCATAAAACACATCATATCCCATCCTCAAAATAACTCTCCAGGATAAGACCAATAGCAAATGAGAAAACTGAGGTTCAAACACAGAATCTTTAAGTATCCAACACGTCAATAGCAGGACCAGGATCTGGTCTACTCGAGACCAGAGCCACTGCTCCTTCTCCTGTGAGCAGGTTTTTCCTGAGCTAAAGGACTTGGCAGGGTTAAGAATGCTTAGGATAGAGAAGGGGGCTGCTGGCTGGACCCCAAGGCATTTTGGGACAGTCAACATGATGTAGGGCAAAACAGCTCCCAGGTTCGAGTCCTGCCGCGTGGATGAGAGCTGCCCCTTTCACCAAGGCAGCCACAATCGCAGCCTCAGACCAGTCACAAGACCATGACCCACAGAGGTGCTGGAAGGGTCAGCAGAAAGAATCATGATGGCAGGATGAAGGAGCTCTGAGAGCTCTGGGTCGCACCTGCCCTCTAGCAGGCCCAGCTACATGGTCTGCAACGAGTCTCCTCACCTCTCTCAGCCTCAGTTCCTCATTTCTACAACGGGTCATTTCAGATTGCTGAACGCAATGGCAAGCAAATGTTTGATCCCAAAAACACAAGGGAACATTGACCAGATAGCACTAAGGACATAAAAAGAAGTGGCCTCCAGCATCATTTATGAACTGTAGAGCCCTCCTTTGTTTATTGACCCAGGAATTAGTGAGTGCAAGACTGAAAAAAAAAACAGGCCAAAATGGGGGAGTCTGTTCCTACCCTTCTCCTAGTTCTGTTGTGACGAACAGTAAGTGAATGTTCAAAACAACTCACCAGAAACCTGGGAGTGCTGTGTATATGCAACAGAAGAGACGATATTAATCTCTTCCTCCTGAGTGGTGAAAAAGCAGCTAAGAGGCTGGGAAAACTCAGTTAACAAAAAAAGCCCTTGTGCTAAAAATCAGAGTACACAACGGGGAAAATACAGAGGGGGCACTCTGGACCAACAAGGAGGTCCCCCTGGCTGGGTGCTCTCCCACCCGACACACAGCGAGGAGGCAGGTGATGGGCTCGGCCTGGATGGGCTCTGGCATGCTGGGACACAGCTCTCGAGGAGTGCCCCAGCCCTACCTGAGGAAGCCGGGGCGGAGGCTCACGTCCCCCCAGGGGTTACCTGGAGCTGCCTCTCAGCAAAGGCAAGAGAAGAGTTTCTCCAAAGGGAGATGGAATTAACAGCAGGTGGATGTGTTTGGTTTGGGATCGAGATGAGGGTGGAGCAAGACGTCTAGACATGACCTAAGTGGTCAACATGCCAGAAAGACATCACTGACCAAAGCTGTCACCTCCACACCAACAGGCTAAGCAGAGGCCAGACAAGCACTGGGCCCGGGCCTCCCACTCTTCCCCCAGCCATGAAGCTGACAAAGCCCGGGAACATTCTCCCTAGAGAACAGCAAAAGGCCTAAAATAAGCCAAAGCCTTAGCATACTAGGAAAAAGCCTCAAAGAAACACAGCCGTTGGCTTTTTTCTCCAAAACTGTCCATTTATCTCCATCTCTAATATGTCCCTGTCCAAGCCTCCCTCATCTCTACCTGGACCACTGTCCCTACAATCCACTCTTCACACACACTCAGAGTGAGCTTTTCAAAATGTGTATATGTCATGTTAGCATCCCGCTTAAAATCCTCCAATGACTTCCCATCACACTTAGGATAAAATCCAAACCCCAGGCCAGTCCCCAAGGCATAGCTTGGTCCGGCCCTGCTCTCCGCCCACAGTCCTCCCACTCACAGTGCTCCAGCCACACCACCTGCTTTCTGCTCCTCGCGCTTGCCAATCTCGTTCCTGCTTCAAGGCCTTTGCACATGCTTTTCCTTGTGCCTATAAAAGTCTCCCTCTGGTCATGGCATGGCAGGCTCCTTCCCATCATTATATTTCAGGTCAGATGTCCCCTCCCTAGAGAGGCTTGCCTAGACTATCCAGCTACAGTAGCCACTCAGCCTCTTCTACCTCTCTGTACAGTGCATTTTTCTAGATGTTTCTCTTCTTAATGACTCTTTTACACTGTTATTGTCCTGCCCCCCAGAATGTAAGTCCCATGAGATCAGGGTGTTTGTCTGTCTTGTTTGTCACTGTCCCTGTACAGGGCACAGGTGACACACACTAGGCCCGCAACCAATACTTGCAGAATAAAGGAACAGCAGGAGGAGAGATGAACCTTTCTCCGTAGTTAAGACCTTAGCCACCTCTTTGAAGAGAGAGAAAGGGCTACAAGCCAAGAAATGCAGGTGTCCTCTAGAAACCGGAAAAGACAAGGAAATGGATTCTCCCCGGAGCCTCCAGAAGTCACCTTAGCCCTGCTGACCACTGCAGACCCCAGCCCTCCAGAGCTGCAAGATAATAAATCTGTGCTGTTGTAAGCCGCTAAGTTTGTCACAGCAGCAACAGGAAACTAATGCTTTATCCAACAGGAAAAAGGCCAGAAGGGATTATTATAACTGGGGTTTCAAACTCAAAAGCCCTAGGGTACAGGCAGGTAAACTAAATGAGTAAAGCAGGACAAGAGGCTGTCTCTTCTAGAGAGAGCAGCTCCCACTCAGCTCTGATTCCTGTCATGCTGGAATGTGAACCACGTGTTGCCAACCTTCAACATTTCAGGAAAAGCTAAATATATGTATGTTCGTGAGAGATCACACAATTTTTAAACGTTGAAATCTAATTCAAACAATTTAAATAACACACAGCCAAATAAAGCATATCAGTAAACTACAAAAAAAAAAAAAAAGCCTCAGCCATGTCTCAAAATCCAGCTCAAACATGCCCTCTTCCACAAAGCTTTCTGACCCATCCAGCTTTCAGAGATCTCCCACACCTCTGAATTTTACCAAGCTATCCACAATGGCATTTATCCATGCTCCCCACCTTGGGTGATGGTAACAAATAATACTGGCTAAGACTGACTACTTGCCAATAACTATCTTCATTTCCCCTAATTCTAACCCCAACAGCAGCTCTGGAAGGTACCATCCTTCCCATTTACAGATTAAAAAAAAAAACAAAGAAGAAGAATCAGCAGCTCAGAGAAGTAAATGACTTACTTACCACCACCCCCCAACCAAGACACCACTGCTCTAAGTGGCAGAGCCGAGATCTGATCTCAGGTCTGACTTTCAAAAGCCCATGCCTTTAACCACACTGCCAAGCAACTGCCCCCCATTCACCTCTACCTTCATCAACCACATAACAGATGTCTCCTACATGCAGGAATCAAACCTATGTTCAAGCCTGGCTCCCCCACTTACTGGCTTTCTTGTCTCTTAAATGAAACCAAGTCAAGGTATGTGGGAAAAATGGATAGCTGCCCAAAGATTCACGCCCTTTCCTTACTGTAAAGTCACTGAAGAGCGGTTGGTTTCCCATCCAGGACTTCATTTCCCAGGCCCCCTTGCATCTAGGCAGGATCACATGACTAGTTCTCACCAACGGAAAGTGGGTGGGAAGTGATATCTGAGTCAGGGCAGTTAAAGATGGACGCACCCTCTCCATACTCCTTCCCTTCCGCCAGCTGGAACGGTGGCATCACAGGATGGAAAGTGCCTGAATCCCTGAATCACTCTTCTTCCTAGTGGAAGAAAGTCACCCACCAACCAGGAACTCCCACTCTGGACTGCTACATGAACAAGAAATAAGGCTCTACAATACAGAGTCACTGAAACTTTGAGATGTGTTACCACAGCTAGTGTTACTCTAGTTAATACGGTGAATAAGATCACTCCGGGATAAAAATCACTACCTCCACCCCAGGAGAAAGCCTATTTAAGAAATAAAAACAGGAAGCCAGCTCCTGGAGGAATGGGAGTAGAATCAAAAAGAGTTTCGGAAAATCGGAGTCATGTCTTCCAGAAGGAGGAACCAACAAACACAGCCAAAAGCTCAAGGTGGCAGAGCCACCCCCGCAAGGATGGGATCTGTGGACTAAGCCGAGCCCCGAAGCAGACGCAGACGAGGGGCCTCACAGAAGGGGAGGATGAAGAGTTCGGATTTCTCAAAGGTGGGGCCAGGGCAGTTCTGGCCCCAGCCAATGATTCTCCTGGTTTGGGGCCAGTCGTGCCCGCAAATCCCAACATTTGGCCTAGAAGGTACAAGAAAACACCCAGATTACAAGAGAGAATGGACACTTCCTCGCTGAAAAAGTCTCCCCCGGGCC